ACTGTTTATTTGAACAAAATAGTGAACCACAATTTTAGCTTATCATCTCATGACAACATTTGACCATATTAGGTAACCATGGATGTGATGTGCAAATACATAACTCTGTTTTGATGTTTTCCAAGAAACTTTGAACAAATCACTGTTACCTTAATCTTGTATCTCCTCCATGATCTTCACTGCTAATATCAGTTTGGGTCAATTGTCTTATGGTGTAAACCAGGGGTGTTAAACTCAATTTCATTGAGGGCCGCATCAGGGTTGTGTTTGACCTCGGGGGGGGGCGGGCAGAGGGGGCATAGCCAGTTTGATATCACTTGTGTTGGGGACGCCTGTGGTGGCCGGAGCACTCTGCCAGCAAAAGCAGGCTCTAGAGCTCCATCTTTGGCTAGGACAGCCCTTCTGCAACCTTCTGCCAGCGAAAACGGAGCTCGGGAGGGCCATGCAAGCTCCATTTTCGCTGGCAGAAGCACCTTTGCTGTTTTCAGGGCGGCCCCGTGGACCAGATTTAAGCATCCCACAGGCCAGATGTGGCCTGTGGGCCTTGAGTTTGATAGCCCTGGTGTAAACAAACAGCATCCAGAAGACCACAAAGATAAAGGTAAATTCTGAAAAAAATAGAAGCAGAGATGTCAGTTGTAACCTGGACTATTATTATAACCTCCTATTGTCTATTCTAACAGAAACCTGCTTTCTATCTGCCACTAAAATGCATGTGGAAGATTTCTTGCTGAGAAATGTTCTTCTCATCCTTCTTCCCCTATTATTTTGATGCATGAGGAGATCGGCCTAGATTCAACACATAATGAGTCTCTTCCACTTGGATTAAAGTTTCCCTCCTACACAGAACATTTAGGCTTTTCTGCATGGTGGCAGAAATGCTCCGGGATTTAACATTTCAGAACCTTGAGAAAATGGCAGGTAGAATATGGGGATGTGGGGAAGAAAGGCAGCCAATTATCCAAAAGCAAATTATTCCAGGTTTCATAGGATATGAGGGGACGGAGACCAGTGACAAACCCAAAGTACTGACATGAGTACACTGAGATAAGACAGAAGTTTTAAAAGTGTTTTAAAAGCGTTGATGAACTTTGCTACATTTCACTATATCAGCATGGCTGCAAAGAAAATTGAGCAATAACTACAGGACATTGAGCCCATTCTATTTTGCCAGGGTATCATTTCTACCTATAAGATACAACTTGGACACAACATTTAAAAGTGCCCTGGCCAACATACACAAAACTCTGGGCCAAAGGTCTTCCTGACATAAGACCATATTCTGATGCAGGTAAAGGATATTAACACATGAAGCACATTCTTCACACTGTTTACCTGAACCCATATTTTATGTAACTGACTGAAAAGATGGAAAATAGCCACTAGGTATCTCATTTCTTTTTAAGCAGATATACTGTCCTACTCTTGATCTTTTGTACAATGGGCTGATGCATTTTTTATGAGAGCTAATCTGAACAAATCTGAGTTAAATGCTACATCTTTATTTTTTTATGCTCAAAGAAAAATTCCATTGGGATTAAGTAACTCTAAAAACAGACCAGGCATTGTAAATCATTCTGAGACTTTTAAATCATACTGAGATTAAGAGCTCTAAAATGCATCAGTGATGGATGTTTTGAATCAGAAAATGAAAACTATTGATAAATATTAACCAGGGCTTGGTGGCTCAGCAGATTGATAGCATTGTGATTAACACTAGCTATCTGCAATTATTGTAAATTTGAATCTCACCAGGCTCAAGGTTGACTCAGCCTGCCATCCTTTCTAAGGTAGGTAAATTGAGGACCCAGTTTGTGGGGGCAATAAACTGACTTTGTATAAATATGCAAAAGTATGAAGGCTATTGCTTAACGCATTGTAAGCCGCCCTGAGTCTCCGGAGAAGGGCGGCATATAAATCAAATTAAAAAAAAAACCCTATTCCAATTATCTTTTAAAAGTATTGTCTTGTATCTTTGTATAACACTTGCTTTAATTGATTGTGCTCATCATTACCTATCTCTAAACAGTTTCATTACTTTCTTTTACTGACATAATTAGTTTAAATTGTAGCCTTACCGTAGTGTAAAATCTTATTGTCATTGACAATGAGTGGTCCCTAATGTTAATAATGATAGTAATAGCAATGTTCTAACCTCACATCGAAGGTAATACAGATAATTCTTGTGTTGCAACTGCCTCATTTAGCATCCATTTGTAGTTGGGACAGTAATGAAAAAGTAATTTTGTGACGAACCCTTGCATTCACAATCTTTGCAGGTCTGTAAAGCAAAAGAAAACTGCAGTAAACATAGCCATGGTTTCACTCAGTGACCACTTCACTTAACGATCAAGCTGCTGGTCCCAATTGTGGTTGTTAAATGATGTCTACATGTAGAAGGTAATAGAAGATAAAGAAACCTGAGAAAATGTATGAACATTTACAAAGATAATTTTAAAATGTCAAATTGGGATACCAAAGTGATGAGATTTTTTTCCCGTTTAGTCCGCAAAAATGAAAGCATGTAACAGCATTCTTATTTATATTAAGTGAAACTTATACAGATTTTGTGCTCTGGGATTTTAGTGGGAAGTATCCCCCATTTATGGTCATGGTGGCTACCGGATGTTTTATACTTGCATTTGTGGATTAATATACAGATAGTCCTTGACTTATAATCATTCACTTAGTTACTGTTCGAAATTACAAGGGCACTGAAAAAGTGAATTTATGACCATTTTATATAGGTAGTCCTAGACTTCAACAGTGACCTTTCGAAGTTACAATGGCACTGAAAAAGGTGACTTATGACCGGTTCTGGCACTTACAACCATTGCAGCACCCCCATGGTCACGTGATCAAAATTCAGACATGTGGCAACCAATTCATATTTATGACGCCTGCAGTGCCCAGGCTCAAGTAATCACCTTTTGTGACCTTCTGACTAGCAAAGTCAATGGAGAAGCTATATTCGCTTAGCAACTGTGCTGCTAACTTAACAACTGCTGTGATTCACTTAACAACTATGGCAAAAAAGGTAATATAATAGGGCAAGGCTCCCTTAACTGTCTCGCTTAGCAACAGAAATTTTTAGGCTCAATTGTGGTGGTAAGTCAAGGACTACTTGTACACTTATGGCCGTTGCAGCATCCCTGTGGTCATATGATCAAAATTTGGACCCTTGGCAACTGGCAGGTATTTATGACTGTTGTAGCGTCCCAAGGTCATGGACATGACCTTTTGCAACCTTCTGACAAGCAGTCAATGGGAAAACCATATTCATAGCAACCATGTTACTAACTTAATTTAAGCGATTCAACAACTGTGGCAAGAGAAGTCATAAAATGGGGCAAAATTCACTTAACAACTGTCTTGCTTAGCAATGGAAATTTTAGGCTCAATTGTCATAATAAACCGAGGACTATCTGTATGCCCAGGTGATAAGAGATCCTACAACGGAACTGCATGCATCAAAGACTGCATTAATGGCATATGCTGCATGTCATCCCTTAGAGACAAAAGATAATAAGCCACAAGAGTTAATAGAAATTTGGTGATTTCCTTTGGTAGATTATGGACAACATATGTTAATCTCTTTCCCTCCATCCAACCTGTTAACTTTTCAGTAAAAAATCAAATTGCCAAATGCTATAATTAACTACAAATTCTTATTAAGCTAATGAAAAACTTTCTGCTATATAGGCTTGATTCCTTACTGGCTTTATTGAGATAAACTAAAAATGAGTCACTTGGAAATGGAATAATATGCAATCCAACAAGTGAGGACAAAATCAAGCTCTTCTACATCCATTAATTTTTATTTGTTACTTTGCTGATCTTAAATTAAGGTGGTTGCAGTGATTCTCTTTTAGTTATAAAATGCAAATTAGATGCGTGGGTGCACTAATAAAAGGATTCAGAAATAATCTGAACAAGAATGTAATGACAGCATATTGAACAATGAAGCACTCATTTATAATATTGTATTCCACTTGTAATGTCATTTGTTATGAAAGAAGCATCAGTAGTTCCCAATATTTTTTTTATAAAAAAAACAAAACTGGTGAGTGGGTTACGAATATAAAGTCTTGGTAATTCTTGAAATAGGGTGATAATGGAACAATAACTTTAAAAAAGAGGTATTTTGATTGATAACACAGCCTATCTTGGTGAAAATTCCTAGATTTTTCTTTCAAAAGTCTTTGCTTTCATATTTGAGAAAGTATGTGGTTTTTTCCTGAATTGACTTTTTGCTCCGATATGTCATTGGAGTAGACATATTTTTGATACATTGGAAAAGGTGCCCCAGTAATCCAGCCACTCCTTTAAAGATTCTCCATCTCATGATTTTGAGTGAATTTGTCAGTTCCATTCATCCCTTGCCCAGTTAACAGATATATTTAGTTAACCATGACGGTGCTTATGATCTTACTTCAGCTTCCCTTTGCTTTACCGACATGAAAAGGTCATAAATGGAAGGATTGGTGTCAAAGCTACTTTTTCATCATCATCATAACTGCAAATGATCAGTATGTGAGGCATTTGCTAAGCAAGGTCTACCTGTTTTGGAAAATCAGTCAAAATTCATTATGTTTAATAGCTGTATCTCCACTTTGCCTTCATCATATATAGTATATGAACCTTTGTGAGGAAGAGGAGTGATTTCAAAATATGATGAATAAATAAAAAATAAATAGTATGCCTTCATTCTTTGCAGTCTTCACATGTCAACACAGTGGCTTTAGATTCTCAACCAGACATTATTTCAATGGCTTGACAAAGCCTGATGACTAAACTCTTAAGCAGCGCAAATGACGCTTGGCATTGTGTTTGCATTCAAATGAATAAAAGAAACCTGTTGCTTTAAATCAGGCTTGCTGTGACTCTGGAAACAAAGTAAACAGTGTCTTGGTAAAACCTTGTTCCAAACACATAAGTCTGATGACAGGTGCTCTGACTGAAGGTCATTGCTGTTCTCAAAAAGGATTTTCCCAGTCCAGGCCTCAGAACTTCACTGTAAGCTCTTTAAATCACTTTAACGAGTGAACAGAATTTGCAACTGTAGGTGAAAAGCTGTTGGTAGAAGATTTGGGTTGAAAGAGGAAACGGCTTAAACAGCAAAACTAGGTAAGTGAAAATTTTCTGTCTCTATTGCGGAGAAACGAGAATGGAATCTCAGACAGCTCGGAAGGATACAAGTCTAAAATTCAGTCTGTGTCAGGGAAAAGAAGCCAGTTCAAGGCCTGGGATTTCCATGTTCTAGTTTTTAATCTTTTCAATATTTACTCTGTTTCTTTCCATTTTTCTCTTATTGTAGGATATTTGTTATAGCAGAAAAGATGAAATGGTTGTGTGATGGTTTTTGATTGATGATGAAGGGAGCCCTCCATCTAGAATAGTGTTTCCCAATATCAGCAACTTTAAGTTGTGTAGAATTGGAGTCCATATATGTTAAAGTTGATGAGATTGAGAAGTACTGACCTGGAAGGTCTTTTAAAAAGACCCCCCCAAAAAAAAGGTTTCCCCCTATTGTGGATCTTTTGTTTGCCCAGACACAACCCCCCTCCTGTTCTTAAATCACCTGGCATGCCCTGACATCATTTATGAGAATACCAACATGAGAATTCTAATTTTTAAAAGAGTTAGTTTGCTTGTGTGTGTGTGTGTGTGTGTGTGTGTGTGTGAGATACGCATGCATGTGCATATGTGAAAGATAAAAGTTGATCCTTTGTTAGGCAGCATTTGTAGTGTCTGAGAGAGGAAGACTACATTTATGGAGGAAAAGTAATTTTTGAAATTGCGTGTAAGGCAATGGTAAAGACAAATGTGATGGTAAATAGAAGAGCAGAAATGAAAACCTTTTAAATTTATAGTTTAATTGTATATTTTCATTGAACTTGGAATAACCACCCTGAATTCAACAATCCTATAAATCAGCATCTTACTTTGAGTAAGCATGTATTCCTGTTATTAAAATATTATTCACTTTAACTTTGATAGGTATGAATGTACACATATGTAAATACTGATACATTACTGAGTTAACAGGTTGGGATAAAGACATACCGAGAACTTATTGTTCTGACAACTCTATGAATAATTTCAGTCCACACCCATTAATGTTCACATAGTTAAATAATCCGAAGTAATGCATAAAGAAATACACAACTAAAAAGGTACTCTGAAACAAAAACAGTGAAATGTTAACAGTTGCATCCATTTGCACAAGATTAGTTGACAATATTCTGGACCAGGAGACCTAGTTTATGGTCACTCATGCTTTGGTCACTTCCTAGTTGGACTACTACCACACTCTCCATATGGAGCTATCCTTGAAGACCATCCATACATTGAAATGTTATAACTTGTGCGGTATTGGGCACCCCCTGGTTTATGTGTATTTCCGAGTTGTTGAACAAATGTTAGTTTCTTCCCAGGTGCAATTCAAGGTGCTGGCTATCATCTTAAAAATCCTGCATAGCATGGGGCTAGATTATTTGTGAACTTATCCTTGAGGGTCTCTGCCTGTTCCACCAGGTTGCACAGGGCAGGCCTACCCCCCCCCCAAAAACTTTCAGCCTTCTGGAATGCTGGGAAAAACTAGCTCTTTCTCCCAAACATTGGGAAACAGTGAAGTTAAATTCAGGGATATATATATATATTAATACACTGAAAAGCTTTGGTTGAGGAACCATGTTCTGCTTTTACTTTTTTTTGAGGGGGAGGATTATTGTTGTGAGCATACCAAAGTTGTGACAATGAAGATGGATGGCCATATAAATAAATATCCTATTAATTACAGTATATATTATAAATGAAATTCAGACAGAGCATTTAAAATAATCTGTTTTCTCTTGAAGCTCAGCCAACTCTGTGTCTTCATGTTTGCTAGAATGCTTTTGAAATGAACATGTTTAGACTTGCTTTTAAGAGACACAATGACGCTATCCTGCAGAAATCTAAAAAAGCAGGTAACATAGCCAGCTCTTTCTCCTATTTCTCATCCATACTTTTCCATTTTACACAGCAATGCTCATAACACATTGTAATGATGTCAATATGATGAAACATGCGCATCATGCTAAAGCTGCAGTTGTGTACTCGCCTCACATCTGAAGCAAATACATAAATCACAGTCTGTGCATAATGATGTCATCATGCACATGTCCTCAGTTGCCCCTACCATGCCCTCCGCAGGTGCCCATGGTCTTACATATTTCTTTATGTTTTCAGCATCTTCTAATCCATCACTATTTTGTCCCTCTCTCTCACACCACTTTCTCCTATATCTCTTTCTGTCTACCTGATTTCATCCATGCTTCATATTTGTGAGCCTAGTTCACTGCTACAGATCATCATAGGATAGTAGATCTGTTCAGATGCTACAATAAAACAACCTGTCTCAGAGGATGGGGAAGTCTCCTTGGCTGAATGTGTTGGATGACTATCTGTCAGAGATGTTGTAATAATGTATTTCTCTTCTGCACAGAAGATTGAACTAATTTCCAGGATCCCTAGCAATCCCGCAACTCAATATTTTGAACAGCAAGCAGCCCTGTTCTTTCCAAATTGCACTAGTGACATCACTGAGGTTCTGATCTCTATGCTTATAGGAGAGCTGTCTAAACAAGAGGGCTTTTGTATATATTAAAAGGTTTTCACATGAGCTGGCCTTTGATAGTTTAATTAAAGTTTTATTACATTACCTGGTCATGTGAACTATTGTTCAGTTTCAGAGAGTAGGGAGAGTAAAGCATTCAGTGTTATTCCTGATTTTTAAAATTTTTAATGGCTTAGAACTTTAGTTACAGAGGTTGTGACTCTTGTAGCATGAGTCAGACTGCTATAAGATCACTTGAGGAACTATTATGCAAACTTCAGATGAATAATAAACTTCTGATTTTTTCCCTGAAGACTTCCTGTTGAAAAATGCACCCTCTGGATTTGATCCCAAGGATCAAGATCTTCCTTCCTTCCTTCCTTCCTTCTTCTTCAAAAATGAAAATTAAGGAGTTTCTCATAGATTTTCTGTACAGTTTTTTATAAATAGGCTTTTGCTGCTTTTACCAATGAGTCAAAGATTAATGAAATAAAAACAAGGCAGAATTCAGATATGAACTTTTTTGTGCTGAAGTTGGGATCTATACATTTTGACTTTAAGAAAAATGTTAGTCTCTTTTTGGATAAAAATTTGGTGGGTCATGCAGAATGTTTTGAAGAAAAAAATTCAATTCTCTCCACAATTGTTTTTATTGGGTATAGTTAAGGGTTTTACATCGGGTGAAACAAAATTGATATTGTATATGATAACAGCAGCAAGATTGTTGATAGGTAAATATTGGAAAAATGAAGCTTTGCCCACTATTGAAGAATGGACTTTGAAGATGGCCAGTTTTGCAGAGATGGCGAAGATTTCAGCATACTTAAAAGATTGTTCACAAGAGACTTATGAATGGGAATGGAAAAGGTGGATAGAATATGTTCAGAACAAATATCAAACTAGAAAGTATCAAATAGCTTTTATTTGAAAATAATGTATTAGAAATATTTTAATGAAATGAGGTAAAAAGAAAAATCATACAGGGGAGGGAGGGGTTCAAGTTTACACGTAAGTGTCATACTAAGGGTTTTTGTGTGTGTGTGTGTGTGTTTTTTACCAGTTATGAGTATATTATAGGGAAGTCTGGGGGGAGGGGAGGGTTAGGGAGGGTTAGGGAGGTTGGGAAGTTTGGGGGGGGGAGGTGGGGGGGGGGGAAAAGGGGTGAAAATGTAATTGTAAAACTTTTGCAATAAAAAAAAAAGAAAAATGTTAGTCTGATACTAACATATTTATTTTATTTATATAATAGAATAAGCTTTGGCAGATCTCTGACCTATAACTGGATAATACAGGAGGAATTGTTTGATGTAGGGAGGCAATCAGAAGGATATAATTAAATTTAGTAGATGGAAAAGAAAGAAAAATGTTATACTTTATTTCATCTAAGGCCCAACATGTTGCCCTGGTTGCTGCAGCTGGCTCTCAAGTCTTAAGCAAAACATTCTCCAAGTCCATCATATTGTCCTGAAATATCATTTGCTGACTGGACAGGCAAGTATCACTTCATAGCCTGCAGCAGTACCCTTTACCTAGTATAGAATAATATACCACATTTCTTTCTTTGATATTGCTAAATCTATTTCATGTTGCCAATCAGGTATTTGTAGTAATTTAGAAGTAAACAAATTCACTTAAGATGATTGCCTAAAAATATATATCCCATTCGAGAGAAGAAAACTTCTAAAGAAAACAAAATATGTACACGAACTAAGTTGAACTAAACCAGTCTTCCCCAAACTTGGTTGCAGAAATCAAATCTCCAAATGTTTACACAAAATGATACTGGCTGAGGAATTGTGAGAGTTAAGGCTAAGTTAAATCTTGTGGGTATTTAAATGGAGTAGAACTTGCCTAGAATTTCTTTGAACGCCACAATTGTGCAACAATGATGTTGTGAGTCTGCATTGCTGTCTGCATGACCCTGGTAAGGTAGAAATGCAGTCCCACAAGGCTCTATAAAAATTAAAAATTAAGGAAGTTTGTTATTAATATGCATTCCTCCTCACTGAACGTGGCCAGGCAAGCCAAAAGTTCCCCTCGAGAAGGACCTATGCTGGCTCAGGAATTCTGGGAGTTGAAGTTCACAGATCGTAAAAGGGCCATAGTTCCCCACCCCTGCCCTAGAGGTTACCATGAGAATGGTAGAAGGGACTTGGTCCTCACCAAAACTATTTCTTGGGGAATAAGCTCAGTACATAAAGTTGGTAATATTCCAGGCTCTAGAAATACAAGGAAGGCACAGAGGTCAAGATCAGATGATATCAAAATTACCAGATTCAGTAGAAAAACCATGTAAAATATATTTCTATTCTTTTATTAATTGGCTTTTTAATCAATCACATTGCTAATCACATAACTCCTCGAAAGAGTTAATGTCACTTACTCAAGATCACTGAATGAGTAGCACTGTGGAACTAAGTATGAGCTTAGAGTTCTATTGATTATATTATTCTAGCTTATTCAGTATCATAGTATTAAAAACCACATTGCAAAAGATGGTAACTCCCAAAGAAATAAAATTATTTTA